TTCTCTGGACGATTCCTTGAGGATGGGGAAGGCAGAGAAGGCTGAGGGGGCTCCACTCTGGGAAGTTTGTCCTTTCTGGGCCTCTTAGGGGCAGGTTTAGGTTTTCTCTTCAAGCTGGGATCGTGAGCTCGAGACTTCTGAGAAGAGGGCAGCTTGTGCTTACCAGACGATTTTGCTTTTTCAGCAGTGTCCTTAACTGGTAGCACGGAGGTAGAATCAGAGGTAGACTGGCCCGCTGGAAGTCTATCGGCTGAAAGGGCAGGAGATCTAGCCGCTTCTGAAGACAAAGTAGGAGGATTCATGGCTGTCTGCCAAAGATAGGACCGAAGTCTTTGGAGCCTCTGTTTAAGTGCCAGCTTGGTTAAATTTTTACAAGCAGGGCACGAATGGGTAGGATGTTCCTCACCCAAACAAAAAAGGCACTGATTATGACAGTCGGAAAGTGCGATTTTATTCGCACAGGTCGTACACCTTTTAAAAGGAGATGGTGAGGCCATAAGCAAAGAACTAGGGAAGGGGGGGAAAGAGGGAAAAACAGAGCCGATTAGGCAAACAAAAGACGCGGAGGATCACTAAGTAGGTAATTAAAACAAACAAAAGCTCAAAAGAGCCTAGAAAAATAGCCAAAAGGCAACTAGCGAAGCGCTCAATCTTTTCTGAGAACTGTTCAGCTCGGCGGAAAAAAGGAACTGGGGAAGATGGTGGGTGGGAGGAGCATATACCTCGTGGAGGATCACACCATAAAATTGTTACTTTTAGCTCTAGAATCTACCGAGAGAGTCAGCGCAGGCACAGACAATACCCATATGTGTGCATTCACAGAGGCCACGAAAAAGAAATTCACATTACACTCAAACAATCAATTAGTGCTGACCTATGCTGCCTCCTAAAAAGTGTGGATAATATTGTAGGTTTAATTGCTTTGGGAGAAAACAGAGCTGAACTGTCTTAAATTCAAATGTTCAAATATTCACATATTGTTTAGCTGGATTACATATTAATTGTACACCAAATAATACCCTGTTTCATACTCTTGTTTCTCTTCAGATCGTATAAATAATACTGTTTTCCCGAAAATAAGACATAACTTGGAAATAAGCCCTAGTATGATTTTTCAGGATGCTCATAATATAAGCCCTACCCCCCAAAATAAGCCCAGTTAAGTGAAACCCTGCCCTCCACCGTTGTGCAGCAACCAAAAGAAGATAACGTGACTGTATCTGAATAATTGTTGTACATTAAAATATAAAACATCCACCGAAAATAAGCCCTAATCTGTTTTTTTGGTGCAAAAATTAATATAAGACCCTATCTTATTTTCAGAGAAACATGGTAACTGGGTATTATGTAGCCTCAATAGGCTTTCCTCTGTAACCAGTTCCTTTTGGCTTTCTTGAGTCATGGGTACATCTAAGGGAATTATAGAATGCTAAATACAGTAACTCCATTGGAAAAGTGCTAATTTGGAGATTTTTAAATAATCAATTAGAAAAGAAAATAATGGGCACGATAAAAATGTGACTACTATCTCAACAAGATAAACACTTTTTGCATGCTGGGCTTGTTCTGGAATACACAGTTCCCTGGTTGAAGAGCAGTGCTCTTTACATCAACATATAATGTTCTCTTTTTAAATTAAAGGCTCTTCAGTCCTATAGAGCACAGAGGGCAGCTCAAAGGATAGAAGATGAACCACATCCAACACTGTGCTGTGTTGAGCTCATGCTGGCAGGCTCCAAGCCAGATCAGAGAATTACAGTACATTTATTTGTGTTCCTTCACGTTTTTCTTTGTTCATTTGCCACCCCTTGCAATCAACAGGAACGACATTGTTATCGTGAAGCTAATCTGGGAGGACCAAAACATTCACAAATCCACCCATGCAACATCCTTAATTCCCTCCTCATGTTGGAACTCTCATATTGGGGAGATATACTTTCCTGAAGTTTTCATAAGGGGCTTGAAGATTTTGCAGTTGGGATCTCCTTCTCCAATAACAGACCATTCTGTCTGCTTTAGAGAGATGATCCAATAATTCCTATGTCCCTGGGACATGCTCCTAGTCCACAGGATTATGGGTGTTTCTAATTACTGTATATGTCACAAAATAAACCTATGTTTTTATTACTGTTACCTAGAATAAATGACATTAAAACTAGAAATTGAAAAAGAACTAGAGATGTGTGTTTTAAAGCTAGCTTTTACCCTTGGCATATAAAGGTAAAAGCTATGACCAGTAGACTTCTTGAAAAAGGGCTGAAGATGCTTAAAGGAAAGATATTTTTTACAAATTGAAAAATGAGGATGGACATGAAAAATGCAGCACTAGCCAGCAGATGTCACTACCAAACTGTAGTTGGTAATGAAAGTCTTTCTACAGCTCCTCCTAGAATGACATTTGGATAGATATTTCTGTGGGGAGAAGAAAATGTATAAAGGGACCAAGCAATCATATTCTATGCGCACCAGAGGAATTTGGGCTTGCACATCTTGAGTAAAAGTATGAAGTACACCAAAAGCAAGTTTGCAAAACTGTATACAGGTCAGCTGTTGAAAGATGCAGAGCAATAATTCTTTTGGGCCGGAACAAATCCATAAACTAGTCTCAGCCTACGTTCCTTCTACAATATCCAGTTGGTGCTTTAAGAACTCAGTCTTAAATACTCCTGCAGCAGTGGTCAGTTAAACTACAGAAACAGTGTAAGACTTAGGAGCATCAAACTCAGTAGGGTTTGTCTGCCAACAGAACAGTTTCTCTGAGCAGCCTAGATTCACCCTGATAAGAACCACCAGAAATTTCTGGGATGGAACTGCTGTGCAAGGGAGAGAAGAGAAAATACTGTATGTCACACAGTGATGATTCATGTTGCTTTAGTTGTATCTTCTCACATAATGTTGGGCTGCCTAACTCAGAGTTTACACTTCTCCCTTCAAGAACACTGGGGTTAGAGATGCTGGATTTTGTAGTTCAAAATCCATGTGTAACTCTTATGCCCACTCAATGTAGCTACAAAGCATGAACAGTTGATTCATACAGACACCCTCATACCCAGAGAGATTGAGAGGGAGGGAGGGAGAGAGAGTGGTCTTTTAGACCAGATGGGCGGGGTATAAATCAAATAAATAAAATAAAATAAAATAAATAAAATTAAATAACACATTTAATATACTGCACATAGCACCAACAAAAGAATGGCAAAAATCATGGATTTTCCAGTCGTAATAAAATTAAACACCTTTTAGAATCACCTTAAAAATAATTTTAAGACCCAGACAAATGGCAAGTTGGCAAATATCATTGCATATTTTTCTCAAGGAAATCTGAATAAAAGTGGGAGGTATTACTACTGAAACTTGATCTGATTAAGTACAAGATCCAGACATTGGGGTAAATGTTTAGCGATCATTTTTATTTGCTTTTTTTTTTTTTAAACTGAACTGGTACAGCATCATGAAAATGGTTAGTCTTCAAAGAACCTGTATTTTGGGTCATATATATAAGCCATACAGGTCACATATATACAGTGGTGCCTCGCACAACGAACGCCCCGTAGAGCGATGAATTCGCTCTAGGGGGACGTTTTTTCGATCGCTAATGCGATCGCAGAGCGACGGCCCCAGTGGGCGAAAATCGCAGAGCGAAGGTCTGTAAGCGGTTTGCTTACCGACCTTCGCTTTGCGCCCCGCCGATCAGCTGTTCCACGGCTACAAAATGGCCGCCAGAAGCCCCAAAATGGCCGTGCGCAGCGTTTTCGCGCCCTTGTTAAGCGAGGGGAGGGCGCGAAAATGGCTGCCGGCCATAGGAAAGCATTGCTGAACGGTGAGTATTCGGCCCAGTTGGAATGCATTAAACCATGTTTAATGCGTTCCAATGGCTTTTCCTGCCCCGTTCAATGATGCTTTCACACAGCGAGGGTTAATCCGGAATGGATTAACCTCGCTGTGCGAAGCACCACTGAATTTGGCATGAACTTTGAAGCCAAGACAGACACGTGAAAGAGGCTGGGCTAGCCAGGGCTCAAAGAACACTGACGTATCCCTACAAACCTTACTTTATAGTGAAGAATTTGGAGAAAGGTGTTCTTTGACTCTCTCATCGAAGAACAGAACATTTATTTGGAAACTCCCCCCCCCATAACCTCTCTTTGTTGTTTTTTTGAACTTTTTTAAAAAAAGGATAACTATATTGTTAAAATAATTTATTGCCACATATACATATAAAAACACTAACTGGCTCCATGTCTTCAAAGATCTTTTGGCACATATTTCGTGATAAATTCTTTTGACAGCAATATGTCTATGCATAGTTGGGGGACTTTACTACCCATGTGCTTCCTTACCTCATTGGAATGAGTCCTGTTCTGGTGTTTGGCACGATCAGACGCATTGGAGAATGCTTTGTTGCAGCCCTCATGTTCGCAGACATATGGTTTCTCTCCAGTGTGAGATCTCAAGTGGGTTTTCAAGTTTTCCAGTCTGGAGTAGGCCTTTGTACAACCTTCAAACTGCAGACAACACATATATTTAGCGTATTCTAACACTTTATGTTACAGAAAGTGAAGGGTAGGAGGATATGGCAATGAAATAATTGCACATCAAAGGGAAAGTAGTTTTTTCTGATCAAACCATTATAATCAAACATCTTCATAGTTCCTTTCATTTCTTTGATTGGGCCCATCAAGATGTCAGAAGTAAAGCACACAAACAAAAGCCTAGCCTATATTCATGTGTAGGGAAAGACTGTTTTGACACTGTAGTGTGGCTCTGATCCTATGCATGCTTAATTGGGAATAAGCATTACTGAATATAGGAAGACTCAATCATCATCATTATCATCATCATCTGTCATCAAGTCAATTTCAGCTTATGGCTACACTTTCCAGCATATTCTAGGTCTAGACTACTCAGAAGTACAGTAATTTACTATTCCCATTTTCTGGGAGCAGTATGGGAATGTATGGCACGGCCAAAGCCATACAGGTCATTTCCTCTCATAAAAGGCACAGTAGGGAATCGTATGCCTGACTCCTGGCTTTGTAGCTAGGTGCTCCATCTCACTACGATTTACTTCTAAGTAAACATCAAATATCAGTTCTTATTCATTTACAGTGGTACCTCGCTAGACAACGACCTCGTAAAATGATGAATCTGCATGACGATGAGGTTTTGCGATCGCTATAGCGATTTGCAAAAGTCATTCCAATGGGAGATTTTCGCTGAACAATGATTTGGTCCGTGCTTCGCGGACTGTTTTTTCGCAAGAGGAAGATTTTTACAGCTGATCGGCGGCTCCGCAAAATGGCTTCCTTGTGTTTTCGGGGCCCATGCTTTGCAGGACAGCCATTTTAACAGCTAATCAGCACTCGCGAAATGGCTTCCCTATGAGCGATCTTCACAGGACGACGATGTATTTTCCCCATTGGAACACATTAAATGGGTTTCAATGCATTCCAAAGGGGAAACGATGATTTCGCTAAACAGCGATTTCTATGGAACGGATTATCATCGTTGTGCAGGGCACCACTTTATATTCCTTGTTTCATGTTCAGCCTAAAGATCCAGATAGAGGAATTTAGCTAAGTGGGCCTGATGGATTTATCTCAAAAGTGAACTTCCTGAACTAGAAATACTTACAGAATTCACTATCAGGAGATGTGTTAATGACTACTGAAAAACACAGCTTCTTCAAAAAAGTTGAAGATTCATGGAAAATAATTCTACCATAGGCTACCAAACCTATCAGTCACACTAAGGCCCTGGTCATATGAGGGAATTGTTCTCTAGTTATCTCCCAGTTTATTGCTTTTTTTCCTGGTCACACGATGCACAGTCAACACCAAGATATTTTCCTGGCCAGCAGTGTAACTGAAGAACATTTCCCTATTGCCAGGAGGGTTCTGTTATTTTGTACTTTTGTTGTATTGGTGCATTCTTTACCAGAATTGTCTATGTGCATGACCTTTCCTGCTTCTTTTCAGAATCGAAGTCAGGAAGGTGGTCGCCATTACTGTGACACACATATTAATTTTTTAAATTTTTTGTGCCCAATATACTGATAAGTTGGTGAAAGTTATGCCACTGGGATGTGTGCCCTGCCATTACATTAATGGTGAGTATCTTTTAAAAATTTCTATGGGAAGATACATTGAAATGTTAATATGCCAATGTCACTGGGGGAGGGGCTGATCATCAGTATTGCCGTGTGGATATCCCATATCTATTGTGTGCAATGCCTTTCTGGAAGAACAGCCAGTGCCACAGAGGACACTTTCCTAAACAGAAACCACTTCCTGATCAATGGCCCCTCTAATTTTCAGCCCTGCTGGGTGGGGTTCAGCCCCCTGCGTGTGTGTGACTCTGCCCCACCATGTGTGAAAGTCTGACTTCCTGTGTGGGGGGGTTCCATTGAAGCTAGAACAAAAGGGGCTGGACATGATCACTGTGGGTGAATGGGGGAGGAGAAAAGTTGTGCAGAGGGAAGCGGAATCATGCATGCTCATACAATCAGAGGGAACCTTGTTCGTGATCAATCAATTGATCAATCAATCAATCAAGGTGATAAATTGCCGCATGAAGCAAGAAAGAAAATAAACCAATACCATAGTGTAGCCACCCATACTGATTCAAAGAGGAGTAAATTGATCAGTGCCAGTAAAAGGTCTTGGGAAATTCATCCCAGGATATAAACCACGTGACCATGATTCTGTACTACAGAGGTATGGAAAATATCCGAAGAACTACAAAACATTTCCCTCATGTAACCACAGCCTAACCTCTTATTTGGATTACTATAATGAAATTTCCATGGGGCTGCCCTTGAAAAATTACAATTGATTTTTTTTTTTTTTTGCATGAGCCTATGAGAGGACTGGAGGGGCGGAATCATCCAGTCGAAAAATTACAATTGATATATATTTTTTTTTGCATGAGCCTATGAGAGGACTGGAGGGGCGGAATCATCCAGTCAGTTAGTCAGTTAGCGAGTGAGAGAAGGGGAGTGCAAGGTGTGAAGGAGAGCGGTTGAAGAGCAAAGAAAGATAGAGAAATAGAGAGAACTGATATTAATAAACAGAAGCTGGTTAAAACGAATAAATAAAGCAAATGGTGATTGAGTGTGTAACAAAATTTACGAAGTTTCAATTCTATACAATGACTAAAGATCATCTGTGATTCAGATTCAACCTGATATCTTTTAATAAACAAGTTTTGTTGGCAGCAAGTGTCTGATTAAAGTCTTACACAATGTGGATAGGGGAAATCCACTGGTGGCAGTGAAGGAAAGAAAGAACATCACCACAATGAACCCTTGGTTTGGGGAAAACAAACAGGGGGCGCTGGGTGAATGTCACAACACTCAATTCAGAAAGAACTTCTGGATATTCTTCAGTCTCCATTCTAAATAATATGATACTTCTTGCTTTCTGTTCAGAGAAAGCCTGGGTCCTGGATCAGCCCGATCTTGCCCACAATGTTCAAAAAGACACAGAAAATATGAAATCGGTATGTCGTATTGATTTCATGTCAGTTACTTACAGTGCATTTGTGTGGCTTTTCTCCTGTGTGCCTCCTCATGTGTACGACCAACATGTATTGGGCTTTAAATGGCTTCTGCTCTCGAGAACAATCCAGCCACCGGCATACAAACTCTTTCTTTTCTCCATGTATGTGGTCATTGTTTATATGCTGTATGGATACAGATAATTATTAAAAGTTCAGTTTTATTGATCCTGCAAATGCTTTAAAAAGCTCAGATATTAATTGACTCAGTTTCACCAGGTGGGAGTGGAAACCATTGTCAAGTTTAACAAAAACAAACAAAACCTAAACCTAATTTGGCTCTGTGCTGATTTAAACAGCTTTATGACTTTTTAAACTGTAATTTTATTTAGGTGTTTATTGTTTATCCTTTTCTTGTGACACATGCCTCATAGATGGTCCAAGGCCCCAGGACATTGTTGGTCTGTTTTCCTTTTATTTATAAACTGCTTTGGGGGCAAATAATGAAGAGAACTCAACATATAAATATGCACAGAAATAAACAAATATGAATCTTCCATGATGAAGCCTCTAGGTGGCTGTCTAGCTCTGGTTTCATGTGCTTGTCACAAATATTTGGGAATAAAAAGGGACAATTCAACAAATCACTGCTCCATTAGAGATTGGAAAGTTATTGTAAAGAAAATGAATAAAATAACATGATGAAGCCATCCAGTGAATAGCAGTAGCATCCAGTAGCGTCCCAGAGCATCCATTGGTCACTTAGGGACAACTTCAACATGTCATTATATTAATTTTAACATGGCATCTTTTTGAGAAATAGATTTAAGTTTCTTAGCTTTTTAATACTATTTTTTTTCTTTAATGGTATGACAGCAGACATAACATACTGAACAGATGCACTATGCAACATTCAATCTTCCAGTTTACATTTCAAGTGCATGTGTCTGTAGTCAAGTTATACGTACAGTGGACCCTCTACTTACGGAATTAATCCGTATTAGAATGGTGGCTGCAGGTCGAAAAGTTTGTAGGTCGAGTCTCCATTGACCTACAATGCATTGAAAACCGATTAATCTGTAACCGGCCATTTTTGTTCCATTTTGATTTTTTCCTGGTCTGTAGGTCGATTCTCTGGCTGCAAGTCGAACCTAAAATTTGCAGCCAGAGAAGTCTGTAACTTGAAAAGTCTGTAAGTCGAGCCATCTGTAAGTCAAGGGTCCACTGTATTACAAGGGTGTGCAGTGAGTGTGTACACATATGGCAATACTGTTAAAGCGAACCAGGGAGTATGTGAGACACTTGTGTGCAATCTTAGTTCCCAAAAGACAAAGAAGTGATTGTAGAAAGCTCAGTCTGTGAAATGAACATCTCAGCACATCTTTCTGAATTTTTGTAAATTAAAAAGGAAGTCCTGGCTTCATCAAAGAGAGGAACAAAGAAGGAATAATGAAAGGTCTCACAGAAGTTTAAAATTATCTAAGCTGAATAATTCCATAACTATAGGTTTTATTCAATTGCAAGAACATCCGTGTCACTTTTGTACTCAGCAGTATTTCTAATTATTCTTCTGCATTTACTGCTTATTCCACACAACTAAAAAGGAAAAGCAAAATGTGCTGTTTATATGTCACCTCATAGTATTTAACACACGTGCTGGTTGGTTTACAATTTAATTATGCAGTCTACATATCCCCCCCCCAAAGCTGGGTATTCAGATACAGTGGTGCCCCACTTGACGATTACCCTGCTCCACAACGAATCCGCTTTATAATGAGGTTTTTTCGATCGATTTTGGGGTCACAAAACGATGTCTAAATGGGAAAAATCTGCTTTATGACGATCGGTTCCCTGCTTCGGGAACTGATTCTTCGCATTACGATGGTTTTAGAACAGCTGATTGGCGGGTTGTAAAATGGCTGCCCGCTGTGCAAAATGGCTACCTGCTGTGTTAAGGATGGATTCCTCGCTATACAGGCACCGGAAAATGGCCGCCCTATGGAATATCTTCGCTGGACGATGAGCTATTTCGCCCATTAGAATGCATTAACCGGGTTTTGATGCATTCTAATGGTTTTTTCCACTTGATGACAATTTTGTTGTACAGCGATTTTGTTGGAATGGATTATCGTCATCAAGCGAGGCACCACTGTACAAGCTTCCTGGTAAGGATGAATACAGAAGTGAAAGTTTGATAATTTTTGACTGGGGAAAAGTTCTACTCATTGGACCAATTTGGACTGCAGAGGATCTTTCTCCTCCTGAAGCCTCATCCTTCAAATTCTTGCCAGAGAGTGAGTGGAGACAATAGAGATTTGCTTTCTTGCCTTCAGCTGGTGCTTCCAAAAGTTGGCTGAATCATAGCTGGGGCTCAGTTGCCTCCAGCAGGGCCAGCTCATGTACTTCACCCTCTCATTTTCTCTCATCGGGATGGTAGTAGTGGTTTGGGAGCAAACCACTCTCAGTGAATTTTTAAGCTTTGATTGAGAACAGCTTGCTCCTCATCTACCTTTGCTTCATGGCTCTCAGCATTATCCAGGAACAACTGAGAGTGCTTTGTTCCTCCTTTCCATTCACCACACAGGAAAGAGGGAGGAGTGAAGCGCTAGTAAACAGATAGACCAGGGACCAATTAAATCAATGTACATGGTAACCTTGCATGCCCATATTCCTCTTATTTGTTTATTTTATAGACTCCACAATGCATTGGAAAGGCTCCTAATGTTCTAGGGTACATACCAAGCTTAGATTCAGAATCATGGCTACTAGTACCATGGCATATTTTTTGTGAAGTTTGATCCCACCCCCATAAAACATAAAGCTGGACTTAGGGTGAAAGCTGCTTATGATTAGTGGAAAGGGAAGACAACATACAAAGGACAACTCCTCCATATTTAGATGACGCAGAAAAACAATAACTTTCCAGAGATAGGTCTTGCCACCAGCAGTAGAACAAGTAGCAGCACTGACAACCCGACTAACCACTATGCAAACTGCAATTCAACAAAGATCAGTGACAACAAACAAACAGTATGCTTTTTTTAATAGCAAGGCTATGGGCGCCCTGCTTATTTAAGGCAATTATATAAATGCAAAACAAAAAACAAAAAAAACCTAGTCCCTGAATACAGGTGAGTTACAACCAGGGGTGGTATCTGGTCTACTCTCCCCTGACCAAAGAAACTTTTATGATAAGTACAATGTTCAGTTCCCTGACAGTGGAGACATGTACCTGGTGCACAAAGGACATACCACAGTATGATCCCTCCTCAGGCTGGTAGGTAATGCACAGGACCTGCTACTGCACTTTATGACTGAAGGAACTTCAGTGAAGGCATATTATAGATTCTTTAATGCTTAATAAATTAGGGGGAGCAGCTCAAGAGTCTATCCACAATATGTCCTCCAACAGAGTCTACAAGTTCAAGGCCACTGAGGATGCCACTTCCCACACCAAGTAATGACTGCTGGTACAGGACATCTCTAAGACGGATGAGCCAAGGAAATGCATTTGAACTAATGCTGAAGTACACCACCTCTCTGTCTGTCTCTGTCTGTCTCTGTCTCTGTCTCTGTCTCTGTCTCTCTCTCTCTCTCTGTGTGTGTGTGTGTGTGAAACCTCTTGTGCATAGTCATTTTATCTCCCTGCACAGGAGAAAAGTGCAAAATTCATTCCTATTGAATGGAGTGTAAAGCTCATTCACTCTTCTGAAAAAGTTATTGCCTTAAGGAATACTATTTTTAAGCCAAGATGTTAACAAGAACTGTCCCCAGAGCCTTACACAGAGGATAAGTCAATGCCTTCAGTACTAGGTTAAGAACTGAGAATGGAAACAAGAGGGAGGAGGATACAAGAATTCTCACTGAAGAAAATACTTTACTTGCTAAAGCCACACTACTGATCCCAAAATGCTGTCTGGCATATCAGACTGTTGCTTGAGGGTGTGAGGAACCAGCACTTACTCCAGATCTGCTACAGACACCCTAGCAAGTTATGGAAAGGCTGCCCTGACTAAAGAGTTCTCCTTCCATTCACAATATTTCTGAAAAGCCTAACATCTGGTTTGGTAGATCCTCTTGGTAGACTCTGACTGGAAAGTCAGGAAAATATTTACCAAGTTTCCTGGCAGCCTTATATCAAGAAGATATTTCTGCTCATCCTCTAACAGAAATGTGCTCAGGGAACTGAACTGCTAGCCAAGATCATAACTTTTAGGATTGGGCCAACTCCATGATGAGTGCTCATTTCTCCTTGAGAAACTGTTGAACTGACAGAAGATACTTGTACTGATACTCTGGGAAAAGGAAAATCCTTTGCTAGTTCATGTCACTAATCCCTTCCAGGTGTTGTATCCTCTAATTTATATCCAAGAAACTCTTAACTGAGTATAAATCTATGTTTAATGAGACAGAATCTAGTTGAAGCCACATAGTCTGCTATCCTTTCTCTAGACACCAACCTAACCTATAGATGATCAAGTAAACACAGTTAAAATATACACCCCAGAAGACCTAATTCCTCTGACTAAGCTGCTAGAATCTTCACGGAGACTCTGGGAATTAGTGAGAAAACTGAAGGGCAGTGCTCAGTATGGAGGCTCAGTATGGAGGCTGGACTGATCCATTCAGGAAAATGGGGAAACCTCTTGTGCATAGTCATTATAAGGACTAAGCAAGTATCCCTCCTTCAGGTCAATGAATACAAGGAAACCTCCTGGATGGGTAGCCTCGTCATATTCTAGAGCATCTCCATACTGAATTATTTTGCCTTGATAAATCAGCTTATGAATTTCAGACTCATGATGGCCTCCTTAGGAACTACAGTATAAAAAAGCCCTGAGTTTTCTCTCTTCTTAACGGTATGGTTCCACCTCTTCCTGTCAGTATCACATATCAAAGGGGCCCCATGGTTCTGAAGTGCTTGTTTTGTCCCAGTGATGAGTATTGAGGGGAAAAAAGGTCATTAGGTAATGACCATAACCCAAGGGTATAGTCCAGACACCCAGGAATGACCAAAGGACAAGTGACATCTAGCCTGAGACAGCTGGTATCAGATGAAAGTTTGCTCCCCCACCCCTAGAAAAATCAGTTGGATCCTCACTTAGAAGCTGAATAACAGCCTCACTGCTAGACTCTGAACTAACAATGTGCATGGGATGAGTGGAAGCATGATGTGGAAGAATTGG